TGTTGTTGTTGTGTGTCTTCAAGTCATTTCTGACTTATGCCGACTCTAAGGCAAACTATCATGGGGTTTTCTTGGCAAGATTTGTTCTGTGGAGGTTTGCCATTGCCTTATTTATTTATTTATTTATTTATTTATTTATTTATTGCCTTCTTCTGAGTCTGAGAGCATGTGATTTGCCCAAAATCATTCAATGGGTTTCATGGCCAGGCAGAGATTCAAACCCTGGTCTCCAGAGTCATCGTCCGACACTCAAACCACTACGCTACACTGGCTCTCATGGAATTTGTACTGTAGCACTTTTGTAGGGTACAGGGAAAGCATATTCAGAGTGACAAATGAAATAGTTCCTTTGGGTCCTGCATGGGAGAAAGTGTGTGTGGGGGGGGGGGATAAATCAATCAGTCAATCAAATCCAATTAAGGCTCTGAGTGTACAAATTTCTTGTGGAGAAAAGTGTTTTTGTTTTTTCTCATCAAAAAGATACAACCTGATAAAAGGAAGGAAAATCTGGAGTGTACATTTTGGGAAATGTTCATAGCTATGGTATGGGTTTCAGCTGTGTCATCAGTTGATTTCAGCAAAGCCCAAATGCATATGGAAAATGTCATCCGCAAATTTATGTGAGCAGCTATTTTGTATTTTTGTTGCTTTTTTTAAAAAAAATGTACACTATTTTAGGTGACAGTTGTTATCTAATCTGATGTGTTACTACATTGCTTCCTGAGAATGAGATATAAAGTAGGCAAACATGATATACTTCTTGCCCATTTTATTGCATCTCCTTTCTGGTTCCCAGACAGTATCATACAGATTGAGTATCCCTTATCTGAAATGCTTGGGATTTTTTTTATTTTATTTTGGAATGTATAAGTAACATAACATGTACCTGTACTATTTGCAAGGCTGGAAAGAGACACAAGGGGATGAGAAATTGTGGGAGACATAGATTTGTGCCAAGCATTACTCTTGAATTTCCGCTATTTCAAAGATCCTCAGTCTCTCTCCAGGATCGTTTCTTTTTACCACCAGCCACCCTCTTCTGCCTTCAAGGCGGTGGCTTCAGTGCTCTTGTTCATTTGTCTCTCTTCAGACTCATGTCTTGTTCATTCATCTAGTTCACTCACTATTTGTTTTTTTCTATGAAATGTGAGCCTGGAGAGATATTGAGGATATGAGAGACAAATAGGAACACCTCAACTGCCACCTCAAAGGCTGAAGTGGGTGTCTGGCAGCAAAAAGTTTCAGTTTTTGAAGGTTTTCAGACTTTGGACTTCTGGATTAGGTATGCTCAACCTGTACTATAGTCCAATAGATCCACAATTCATAATGGTTATCTACTCACCTTGGCTTTAGGCAATATATTTCCTCTCATCTTTGTCCCGCAATGGCCATCCATTGATGCTAAAACTGGTTACCCCATCACCATACCTACAAGTTTTACATTTCTATAGCTAGTCACACAGAGAACCTGCTCATTCATGGGCATAAATGTCTGCCGCTAGGAACTTCACTCCATGCATCTGATGAGGTAGACTTAAGTCTATGAAAGCTTATGCTACCAATTTCTTTCTCTCATAGTCTCAAAGGTGCTACAAGATATCTTTGCATGCTGATCCAGAATAGCATTATGTTCCAAAACACTGCAGAAATCCTCTAGTTTGAGACCACTTCAACTGCCCTGGCTCAATGCTAGGAAATTCTGGGAACTGTAACTTTATGAGAGATTTAGCCTTCTCTGTCAGGGAGCTCTGGTGCCACAATAAACTACAATTCCCAGGATTCCATAGAACTGAGCCAGGGCAGCTAAAATGGTCTCAAACTGGATTATTTCTGCTGTGTGTTTTGGACCTATGTCTTTGAAAATATATTTCAGTGAATTGGCCACTCCTTTTGCATAGACATCAAAACCTTCCACTAAGCATAATGGAAAGAGAATTTAGAGCAGCCCCAAATGGTTGCTATGTACATACTAATCATGTTTGTCAGATACATAGAGACACAAAGAGTGTATCTTAGATCAGTTAGCTCATGTTCTAGCCCTAAAACATATACTTCTCTATTCTAGGCAGTTTCTAAACTTGCATTTTCCTACACCTATGAAAATATGGGTCATTTATCTTTCTTATTTTACATTTCATACAAATCATATAAATAGATATATGTAAATCATGTAAATTAGGGCGGCATTACATATATGGGTATAGATAAAAGCTGGGAGCCAAAAATGACTGTGAACCAGACAGCTAGAATAAATAAGCATGAGATAAAACCATGTAAGACCAAACCAGCATGATTCACCACACCTCTTTAGGTAACGCTTGCTGATGCATAGCATTGCTTCTTCATGACTTATAGTTGGTTAGTCTACAAAGGTGTGTATTTATTTTAGATCAAGGTAGGGGATGTAAATATTAAACTTTTTTAAACTCACAAGTGAAGACCAGTCTCTTCCACCTCTCTTCTCTTTGCTGTAGAGAAATCTAATATTTCTGTGCAAGTCTCATCTGACATTCATACATCCCAAGTGTTTTGGGAAGTTATCCTGCATAAAAATAAACATGAGGGATTTGAATGAAGCATGTGGATTTTTCTGCAAAAAATCTCCTGTTGTTTCCAGACAGTTATGTATATTTTATGTACAAATTTTTAGTTGTTAGGAGATAACAAACAATACATTGATCTTGCACCATCCCTCCCCCACACCTCCAAATTGGGCTACTTTTTTGTGCAAGATTGCTGGGGGAGGTTGTGCATTTTTTTTTT